ACCGGGAACACATAGATAAACGCTATCAGCACAGGCAGAGCTGGGCCCTGGGCAGCGTATTGAGATAGAAAAGCCGCACAAAATTCTTTGTTCACAAATGTAAATCATTCTCAACGCACCTCTGAAAGTGCAACTACAAGTTATTCTTGCAGTTCACGTAGAGCTGCGCAACCAGAGCTAACCAGAGTGGTGTTTAAAGTCCTACCTTGATAAAAACTCTGGAAAGAATCATAATTCCTCAAAGGGGGTTGATGTAAATGTCCAAACAGGTCAGCCTGTGTCCAGTTTGAGTGAAAGGAGGCGCGCGGGATCCGCGCTGAGGTAAACTTAATCCAGCTACTGCAGCGCGCGAGGCAACGAGCAGAGGAGCCAGCGGTGTGATTGGTCCGGCTTTAAATGCATAAACTAGAAACCTATCTTCTATAAACATATCTTTTAGGAATAAATCTGCTCCGCTAGTGAAGCGCTCAGAGCAACAGAGACGCTTGCAATCCGGCTTAAAAAAGGAGATTTTATTATTATTATTATTATTATTATTATTATTATTATTATTACTACTACTTTCCTAAAAACATAAACAAGAAAGGCTTAGCCTGGCGGTGGCGCTATAAAGGATAGCGGGCTGCCAGGCCTATAATACACTGATGGAAACCCTGATCTGGCAATAATATACACCAGTAATCCATATTTTAGCGCTTCAGGCAGATCATAAGTGCTCACAGCAGTGTGCTTCCTTTCTTGGGTTATTATTGTATTTTCCTCCCATCCTCCTTCCAATCCTCTTCTAACTTACTTCTCTCTTCTCGCCATCGCAGGAATGTGCCTTATTTCCATGGAGTCCATCAAATTTGCTTCCTGTTGCAACAGTTCTGACCTTTGCCCTGCGTGTGTCCGTTCCAAATGCCAGTTCAGTGAAGCAGTGAAAGCAAGACACTCAAACAGCCCTGGCATATGCCAAACTGCATCCCTCCCTCCTCCGTCCTTTGTGATTTTTGTTCTTACGGCACAATGTTTTTTTTTTTATATATATAAATATACATATATCAATTTATTTTTGCACTTGTGTGTAACTATGTCCTGTATTTGCTGGCAGATTGTCAGGAAATCTCAGGACCATCAGTGGCTAGAAGGCAGCCGAGTCCGAGTTGTCAGTGAGCTCCAGGGAGAACGAGGGACCTGCAACAGACTGGAGAGATGAAGAGAAGTGAATTGAGATGAAAAGGGGGGGGTTAATCCATATGTCAGACTATGAGATGTCTCCAAGGCAACAGAAGCTGTGATGAAGGTGGGAACGGGTCGGCTGGCAGGGAGAAAGATGGATGGCAGCAATAAGGGGAGGGGTGCAAAAAAAAAAGTATGTGTTTCACTTCTGTTTTCCTTGTTATTTGATCACAATGGGTGACAACAAAAGCAATAGACTTGATAAAGATGAGTGTCAGTGAGACCTTTGCAGTCATGGGCTGAAAGGCCACTCAGTGAGGAGGAAGCCATCACTTCAAAAACAGCACAAAGAGTCAGAGATGGTTTGGAACTGCACAAAAGGGGATTTATTTTTACAGACGTGTCCTGAGGTCTGATGAAACAACAACAACAAGAAAGCATTAGGCTAAAATGACCCATGTTGTATTTAGAGGAACAAGGTGGAGAATGCGATCACCACCGTGACACAGGGACATCAGTTTAAAGCTGTTCTGTCAGGAAGAATGGGCCCACTCATTCTGTTTAAAAGACAATTTCACCAAAATTGAGGAAATCTAAGTAACTATATGACACAGAATAAAAAAAAAAAAAAATCTCTAAAACGTTTAGCAAACACTAAATGTATCTGATTTTAACAGACCTTAAACCAAAGAAGTTTAGTCTTAATAAGTATCCAAAACTGATATAAACGAGGTTGTCTTTTTAAACCTGTGTAAACATCTGATAGGCTGTGTGAACATGTAGTACGACAGTAACACATGTTGAAACTTGAACATTCGCAGGGTTTCTTGCAGGGCTTTTGCTCAGCCTCCGTTCTGAATCCGGGTCCTGACCACTTCTTCCATGTCCGTCCAGGAACCCGATGAGACATCAGCAGGAGTAACGATTCACAGCGATGCACAGTCTGACTTTTATCCTCCAAATGATTTTCCTTCCTCCTTTTTAAACGTGCCATTGTCCTGCTCTCTGACTGTGAGAACGCAGATGCATCGATTCGGGTCTGCGTTAGTCGGAGAGGAAGCGTACTTTTTCACGTTGGTCTCTCTAATAGTTCACGTGTTCCTCCTGCTCTGTGACAGGCGGAGTTGTAGGGAGCGGCCTGCGTTAATGGGAGAAGAACAGACGCATTAACCTTTTCTCTGAAGACCCATTGAAGGTTCTGTATCGATCTCATTATTTTAAAGCTTTTTAATTCCACAGTTCTGTTCACCGCTCTTTTAAATAAGTTAATACAATATTTTTAAATTGTTGTTAAAATTCTATCAAGCAAACATATTACATTCTAAGTAGTAACATGTTCCGGTCCATGTCTGATACATGTCTGCCTTCCTAGTTATATGATTTTGATTTTAGACTGAACTAAAGTTTGTCTGAAAAATTCAAACATTAATTTTTAAAATTTATGTAAAAATTACTTTTTTTTTAAATATAATGTTATAATGCTATTTCCTCAACAAAAGCCAATGTGATGTACTGTTTTGATTCTTGAGAAATCCTTCATGGACAACCTTTGCCTTTTCCACTGCTCACAGAGCAGTTCTCCCACTGAGTTCACCACTCAGCTCCTTCAGACTAGCAGCAGCAGCAATTAGCAAACACCTGACAGAACTCTGCAGCTGCTGAGCTCATTATAGGAACTACTTCTCAGGCCAACACTCCTAAGAGTGGTGGTTAAAGGCTTAATGGAGAAACTTTGTGATGCTGAAGATGGAGTGTCAGAAAGAGTAGGTGCCTCTTAAAGAGACAGAGGCCAGTCCTGTTTTATATGTGCAGCCTTTTCATAGCAGCTGGTAACACAGTAACTTGACTGTGCTATAAAATGGCACAGTGTGCCTGAAAAATACACGATACTGGCCCTTTATCTTTAACTCTGGTTCCTGTTCTAAAACCGCAGCAGGTCGATTTCTGGCCTCTCTCTTCAGGACAAGCAGCAGTTGGTTCAGATGTTCTTCAGTAATCCATATAATAAATAGATTTTTCCACAGGTTGATCGCATCAGGCACAAACGTCTGAAAGTGAGGTATACAATGTGCGCCAGGTTCAGGAGTGATGTGTCACTGAAAGCCTACAGCCCCATCATCTTGGTCATACACCAGGAAATTCTTAAAATCATTTTTTGTGTATGCATACATGTATAATGTGCCATGCATTTTAACTCTTTTACATTATAGTTACAAGGATAATTTGCATTTATCTATCTATCTATCTATCTATCTATCTATCTATCTATCTATCTATCTATCTATCTATCTATATATATATATATATATATATATTTTTTTTTTTTTTTTTTTTTTTTTTTTAATGGATTGGGGGTGAAAAATGGCATCAGGCGAAAAATGTTTTCTGTTTTGTTATT